GTTTATCTCTATCTATAATAATATTCAAGATAATAACCAAAAACAACAAAATTTCCTTAAAATTACCTATTCAGGGGCAGCAACCTAACAACAGGTTATCCGATTCATCTGAAAATTTCAGGGTAGATAGATCTTGACCTAAAAAACAATTTTACCCCCATGTCAGATTTGCTGTAAATGCTTTGGTTTTAGAGTTATAAGCTAAAATCTACATTTTTAGCCTATGTACTATTTTTAGCCATGGTGGCCATCTTGGTTGGTTGGCGGGGTCATCGGACACATTTTTTAAACTAGATACCCTAATAATGATTGTGGCAAAGTTTGGTCAAATTTGGCCCAGTAGTTTCAGAGGAGATTTTTGTAAAAGTTTACGGACGACTGACGCAGGACTAGCGCAGGAGTCTTTAGTAGCTTTTCTGATTTTTGATACTGGATCTAATATATATAAAGGAAACAGAAGAAACACTTTCCATGCAAAAGGGGATTCTGGTGGCTACTGCCTGAAAAGACAAAAGATTTTAACATAACTCAGTACAAACAAGAACTGTACGAAGGTGAAAAAAAGACTATTGACAATAAATAGTGCAGATGTATTCTTCTGATGACATGACTGTTTAAGGAACATTGATCATTATGTGTATTTTCACTTCCAACCATTCAACAGGGGATCACTACGCCGTGCACGCAACCATTAAGCTTCCGCCCACTCCTTCATCTGTTCACACATCAACACAGAATGTAAACAATCAAAATTTAAACAACATGGAAAACCTCCTCATTAACACTATTCAACTTTGTCAACAGTCAATGCAACATATAAGCAAAGGGAATCGGATACAACATGAAGATATCTTTTCTTTTGTTGGGGGCGAGTGTAACACTATCATGTTCCAGAAGGATGCCACATATTACAAACATTTTAAATATAAATAAAATATAGACAATTATAGACTATAGCAAGAGATTTAGTGACTATATTAACTTTACCGTAGAAAGGCTTGTATAGTTCGCACTGGTACATAGTCCGCACCCCCTTCTACCCACGAAATTTTAGGTAAAAAAACTTTTTGTAACTGTTAGAAAAGGTCTAATGAAACTCCGGTAATTTAAAATCCTGTGCAGTCGTTTGCGGTATTTTCTTGGAAAAATCTGTTTTCCATCATCAAACAGAAGCTGAAACTGCTTGTAAATGATTGTAGAACGCTTCATGATTGTTAAAATAAGTTTAATTCACTTAAAAAACAATTTAGAAACTTGTGTATGTTTAAACAGGAAGTTTAAAAAGCATGTGTAAAAGTTCCATCCTTTTGTAAAACAGTCTTTAATATATCTATCACATTAATGTTTGAAGGGTCTTAAGCTAATACAAACCATATTAGTCAGTATGAAACACCAAAACGGAACGAACAATAACCGATCACGTTTTGTAGTTTACAAATTCTAAGCTGGTTTACGGTTGTCTTTTTCACTATGTTTGTATCGTTTCAATCAAGCAGATACCAGTTTATTTCAACCAATGCATTGAAAAGAAACGAGAAGTTTGTAATGAAAGGTTTAGTTTTTATATTTATCAGTATTAATTTGATATTGAATAGAAATAACTTATTAATATGGATGAGTTAAAATTATTAGTTTGAAAAATGATAAGAGCGCCCTCTACAATATAAATAACAAAGATGGCGGAAAATAAACAAACCACTTTGCCAGTGAAATTGAAATTTTTCTCTTATTTCTTGCTTATTGTACTCTATAGTCCGCACCCTGTCTGGAAGGTCCAATTTTGGAGAATAAAACCGCGGACTATACAAGCCTTTCTACGGTATATGATTACTTCAAATTATGTCCAGGTAAACTTTTACTTAGTTGTTTGCCTTGCTGCTCAATAGACATTTGTTTGATATCGCCCTAAGTCATTGCTACTGTTGGGTTACAAATTCATCAACAACAAAGAGTATTAAAACGATGATAAATAAATGTGGATAGTGTCCACATGTGGACACAGATGATGCCCCCGCTTGCATATCATATAGTTATAAAGGGGCATAACTCAATAATGGTTAAAGTGACACTACCCAAATTCAACTTGATCTGTGTTTTATCAGTGGAAGTCAAAATTAAACATTGCATTGTATAAAGCATTCATTGTAGTTGTTTCAACTATAATCATGGACAAAGGAAGATAACTCCAATTTTAAAAATAACTTGATATTTAGAAGAAAATAAAAATTTTGCAACTTTTTCCATTTATAAAGGGGCATAACTCTAGAACGGTTAAATTGACGCCACCAAAATTCAAACTTGATCTGTGTTTTGTGGTAATAAGCATTGTGTATAAGTTTCATAACATTTGGTTGAGGCAAACTTAAGTTAGAGAACGGAAACTAAAAATTTTGCAATTTTTCCATTTATAAAGGGGCATAACTCTAGAACGGTTAAAGTGACGCCACCAAAATTCATACTTGATCGGTGTTTTGCGGTAATAAGCCTTGTGTATAAGTTTCATAACATTTGGTTGAGGCAAACTTAAGTTAGAAGACGGAAACTAAAAATTTTGCAATTTTTCCATTTATAAAGGGGCATAACTCTAGAACAGTTAAAGTGACGCCACCAAAATTCATACTTGATCTGTGTTTTGTAGGTAATAAGCCTTGTGTATAAGTTTCATAACATTTGGTTGAGGCAAACTTAAGTTAGAGAACGGAAACTAAAATTTTTGCAATTTTTCCATTTATAAAGGGGCATAACTCAAGAACGGTTAAAGTGACGCCACCAAAATTCAAACTTGATCTGTGTTTTGTGAAAATAAGCATTGTGTATAAGTTTCATAACATTTGGTTGAAGCAAACTCAAGTTAGAGAACGGAAACCAATTTTGGGACGTACGTACAGACGGACAAGGGTAAAACTTAATGCCCCCACCGCTACGGCGGGGGCATAACAAAAGTTTTCAAAAGATGGAGAATACAACCAAGCCCAGAAAAATTGAGGCAAGTGGCTCTTAGTTCATTTTTAATTGTTCTAAAATGGCTAACCAATATATTGGGGTTGTTTTTCAAGATTTGGCTACCCAAATGACAGGTTTGTCTAATGCAATTGGGACACAGGGGATAGCTCAAATGATTCCTTTGTATGACGGAACTCCATCTAAATTAAAGGAATGGATATGGAATATAGTAAAATATTAACTTTTGATAAATATTCCTCAAGATAGCTTAAAATTAATCGCCTATCAAATGGCTAACTGATGTGCACTTAGACATGTGTATTCATGTATTATTTTCATGTAGTTTTAACAAAATTATCATTTAAACTTTTGTGTTTCTACACCATTACATCACACATCATAGACAGTATCGAGAGAATTAATGAATAAATTAACTTTATGTTACAACTGATTTCTTATTCCAAATAATGTACAGATAAATACTACTACTGATGACCACATTTATTTAATGTTTCAATATGTGATTACTTCAAATTATGTCCAGTTGAACTATCCTTAACTTGTTTGAATTATGATGACTGGGGTAAAGTAAAGTTTGAATTGTAAATGGATATCCCTGGATTCACAGCAATTTATAGAATTACTTAAATATCCTTTGTTTTATGAAATGATATAAATATGAACATGTTTGTAGTTTTAGACAGATTAAAAATGATCATCGTACCAGACATTTGCTGCTCAATAGTATTTGTTTATTTTTTTCTGTCCTGAGACTTTCTTCAAGAATCCTGTTTTACTGATATCTATCAATGACCACTCAGGAGCATATTGAAAAGATGCTCATTGAGCAGCAAAGGCAAATGACTTCAGTCACTAATCAATTGACAAGTCTTATATCTCCTGTTATTACTTAAAGTGTGGCCCAAATTGCAGGGCCTAAACAGTATAAAGATTGGATTAAAGCAATTAAAAAGATTGGGAGATGAGGATATACCAAAGGTCGCATATCAATTGTGCACAGGGCCTGAAGGGGATCTCATTAGGCGTTATCTCGCTGATAAAGAAAGAGCCCGGGAAAACCGAAGTTGGGCGGAACTTAAACCTAATCTTGCTAGAGGGTTCACTAAAATTAATGATCAGCATCAGGCCTTGGTAATTCTATAAATAAAAAAAACAAATGAGAGCATACAATTGTATTCAGAGAGATTACTGAACTTAACAGAGGCCCAGCCTGCTTCCACTGATTCCATGTTGTCATTTCAACAAGAATAAAAAGGTAGTTCAGTCTACTATAGCAGCAGAAGATTTAAGTTTACAAGATGGATTGGAAACAGCTTAATAATTTTGAAAAAATCATTGAAGACATTTGTGGAGTTGGGGAACGAATTATACCAATTACAGCTTTTATTGACAACTAAAGTGTTACTGATTCACTTAAATCAACCAAATTGGTAGAGGATAAACGGTTGAGAATAGATATTGCAGCTATATGGGAAATGATACAAAACAATTATGTTGAGATAAATGGTGTCCAGGAAAGGCTTGCAAATTATATGACCAAAAGAGGAGCTTCAGGAATTGAACTTTGAGATCTCAGTACCTTTCGACAGACATATTGTCTCTTTCAAATATGGGTAAAGCCAAAAAGGTGCTTCAAATTGGTCAAATAACCATCTGAAGCTTAAATCCCAATTTTAAAATATTTAATATATGTTATTTGATTACAACTTGTTATTGTGCATCAGTGACATGATGAAGCAGAAGATTTGATAAATATCAAATATCCGCTAACTCAATGTGTCTTGTTATTGAAGTGTGTCAAACGTAGATCTGTACGTTCCTGTGTCCCAAGCGTGACATGGAAACCCCCTTCTAACAAAAAATATACCTGGTTGTTTTTATGGGCAAAAGAAAAATGGAAAATAAGTTAAATCGTTACAAAAGTGTTCTTGCACTATAAATCCGTCAAAGTTTTGCGTGAAATGCAGTAACATTAATCAAAGAAACGATTATTTCGACAGGGTTAGTAATGTTATATTGACAATAGACTACAATGGTAAAAATAACGCACGGGGTTTTCCGCGATATCGTCATCTGCGGAACATTTGATTGGTTCCTGTCATATTAATGCGCCGTCGTATCTCGGATGTTTCAAATAGTTCTAGTTTTGGTTTTGTATTCCGTTTTAGAAGCATAGAATGGCAAGTTTGTAATGTCAAAATAACGTTAAACGTACGTAAATGTTTATTCCTTATTATTAACGGAAAGAGTTTATCCAGGGAGAAAAAATACTTTGTTTCATTTCAAAATTGCTATATATACGAAACTAAATGTAAGCATCACTATCATTCATGGATGAAAATGGAAGAAGAACTCGATGGTAAGTTTTGAGCAAAATGTCAAACTAATAACGACCAGGGCGTCAAACAAAGTATAACGACCAAACCATTCTGTCAAATTGACACTGTTTTATATAATTTTTGACAAAATGATATGCTTAGAATGATAAGAACTAACGAAAATAACGCATTCAAACACCCAAGTCAAACCGTTCGTTCACTTTTTACGGTAACATCGATATGACCGTTACTTGACCATTTTGTCAACCCAGTCAATATAACACCTAGGATGTAAATGATCTTTGTAGAGATATACTGCACCATTCTTTTCATTTAACTTCTATTTCAACTTACAGATAATAAAGGGGGAAAGTTAATATACATTTAAAAAGGTTGAAGTAATTTTCAGTGCTTTTTCACAGGGTGTTAGTTGACAATTATATGCATAGTCAATATAACCATGGTCATTAAGATAGTTAGTTGACACCTTAATGTTAGGGTCAATATAACACATACTCCCACAGTAGTTCTAAAGCTACTATTACTACTGAAATATGTTGACTTTGGCTTTTAGCCTACAAATCTCTTGTACAATAAAAAAAATAAGCCTTTCAGTGAAATTGTAAGCATATTTCCTGCTTCTTTGAAATAGAGCATAAGTTGACGACTAAAGGATTCAAGTCAATATAAACATGGTCCAAAGGAGTTTTTTAAGTTGACACATTAATTTTAGGGTCAATATAACCTATATGAAATATGTTAAAAGCCAATACTATTATTTTTTTTTGTTTGGTCCTGGCCCTAAATATAAAAATGTCTAATATCCAATTCATATTTAAAGCTTTTAGATAAAATGTGACAAAAAGCAGCACCATTCAGCCTTTGACTCACATAGACCCAACAATAAGCAAGAAAACAGAAAATTGTTACAAGACTATAACATGCAAGTTTCTGTCTTGAGACGGTGCAACAAGTTTGTTTTTAAGCACTCAAACTCCCCATACCCTTGAATTTGACAATAAAAACATGAATGTAGACACAATGCAAATCAATGTGAAGTGGTACTTATTTCCAATGCTGTTTTCAACATGGATAACATACAACATCATAAACATAAGAAGATGTGGTATTATTGCCAAAGAAACAACTCTCCACCTAAGACCTAAAGAAGTAAAAAAAAACAATTATAGCCTATAAGGTCACGTTATGGCCTTCAACATGGAGCCTTGACTCACATTTTCATTCATTTCAATTTAAAATCATGTATAAAACTATTTTAACTTTATTTATTGCTTTTCAGATCTTTGAGATAAATCATCTGAGTATGAACAGTGGAATAGACAGCAGAATGAACTTTAAAATGTTTTTAATTTGTTTAAATAAATGATTTATGGTTTGATTTTTGAAGTGGTTTACTTATTAGTATTGTCATACATTAATGTGTTTTATACTTTACTTTCAAAAGTGTTGATTTAATAAGCTCTTGAAAAAAAATTGTAGAAAACAGTTGATCAATAAAGTCACCATCTGACATAGCCAAGAGTATCATAACTGTACATATTAAATGAGCAACCTTTGACCAAAGTACAAAGTCAGTTCAAGTGAGCCTAATTAACAATACTCCTTAATACCAACAGTAAACAATATGTTCCCCAAAATACTGTGAGCAACTCATTAAGTGTCTGTTTACCATCAGGCTAAGCTAACTCTTGCAGTGCACCGGATAGTTTTATTGGGTTTGAGTTGTTATTTAAGGTTTGTTCTTTTCTTGTTATTTATCTTGATTTCTCCTCTCACTTTTGGATTTGTGAATTAGTGCACCTTTATTTTTCTTGCATTCTATAGTTGTCACTTTGATCTGATAGATCTCAGATAGTTTTGGTTACGAGCTTGTGACTTCATTATTAGCTGAACAATAATGAACATGAACCCCTGCATGCATTCAAGAATTAAGTTTGTATCAAAATAAACATAATGGATCAAACTCTTTGTGTTCAGATGTTACCCCAGATTTCCTGTTTTTTTCAGTAAGTTACTTGACATTGTGTCAATATAACAACCAAAAGACGGTAGTGTTGTGAGCAATATAAGCATTCAATCATATTTTGGTAAAATGAAAAATAACCATCAGTTACCTAGACAATAGTAGAAAAAAAATCTTTAAAAAAAATGATTTTGAAAAAGGTTAAATTTAAACATTATTCGTCAATATATCCTACATGTAAGATATGGTATACAAGATTTAATAGTCGTCTTCTTCATTTAGAAGATTAAGCTGTATTGGATAAGTTTTCCCCTACTTAAAAAATCAGCTAGTGTTAACCCCCTGTTTTTTGAGTGGCCTGTTTTAAAATTAAGGCAGAAAAACTATCAAAAAGGGTTATTGTCAAAATAACATACATTGAATTTGGATTTAATTATGTCAACGAAGATCTGGGTTTACAACAACTACATAAAATATTTCATTTGAAATATAATAATTATGTTTACAAATATAATTGCTGTTCAAAAAGCGTTTTACACAAGTTACTAGAAGAAAACTTTATTTTGGACATCTATAACACTGATCTAGCTCAGAGCACTGACATTTCAGAACATCAGGGATATCTCTGTGAATTGGTCTATGATATAATGATGTTGAAAGATATTATGTGCAGCTAAGTATTGATACATTTCATTAATCCCATAAGAAACTATTTAAAACAAAAAATTGCACTATTGTCAATATAACTTACACAAAATATACAAGGAAGGTCAATTTTACAAAAACATAGCAAGACCATGGGTTTCAAATAAAAAGAGGTAGTAAGATACAGATGGTTGCTAACAAAATAATGTGAATTGATAGAGATATCAAAAACTTCAATTTTATATCCTAATGTCACACTTTCCAGACCACCTTTATGGCTTTACCCATATATGTTCTCATCAAATATTGAAACAAGACATTTACACTCTCCAAATTATCTTGAAACAGATATTGGAAAGTATAATATGCTTACACTCATATTCTCAACAATTTAAAAAATACTTCTTATTTTCAACAATATATACTGCTGTATCATATTACTTATAAAATCAGAAATCAGTTAAAAATGAGTAATTATTGTTGAGACTACATGTGTAATATAATCATGTTTTTTTTTACCAATGACTGCTCTGTAATTGAAGCAGTATTTACAAAAGCTTGTCATCCAAAAAATTATTGATATAAACAGGCAGCAGAATAAAGGAATGTCATTGTCCAGAGATAAATGTCTATGGTAAATTTGTAAAAGTTCAAGCACAGCTTTATATAAAAATAAGTCTTTTTTAATACCACAAAAGAAATAATCAACATCCCAAAAAGCTGGTCAAAAACATTACTAAAACATCTCTATCTATACAACAAAGAGCGCCTATGCACTGATGAAATTCCATAAGGTGCAACCGTCGCAGCGGATGACCATATTAGGCAACCGGAAGAGTTTCTCCAAGAACTGCCCACAGAAGAAAGTAGTTCTGCCCCATCAACATGCATGGATACTGAGACCAGAAACGACATACGTGCGGACTCCAATGTAAACAATATGGCCGCTTTGTTTACATCAACAATGGTTAATACATTTACACAGTGTATGGCAAGCATGCAACCATCCGTTTCCCACATCAGACCAATTACAGATTCCTACACCAAGACCTACAATCTAGCCAATTGATACGAACAACGAAACACTTTGATATCCTGCTCATCCCAGTTCCTGGTATAACTCAAAGAACTGCCTCGCATCATAACTTCAGCCAAAGTCATGTCTATAAGTGCCTTTTCATTTTCTCATTATACTAGTGAATGGATTCATCAAGAAATGGAGTGCGATCAGATTCATTCACCAACGTTGATATTGTGTCGCCCAATATTCAAAAAAATATTATTGAGGGTAAGGACATTTATCTCACTACATTGTTAATATTCTATTACAAAAGCCCTAAAGCACACAGTATCACTGCTGATGAAATTAAAGTAAATCAGCCTAGCAAGCCTGACCTGTTTCAATAGGCCCCTGAATATACAGAATTTAATCCAGGCTTATGGTAAATACAAGCGCATCAGGTATGTGTTATATACTGAACAACTTGGAGAGCTGACCAGTACAAAGAGGATTTAATCTTCAAAATTCACAAATTATATGGGGAGAAGTTTTATGACTATCACAAATTATTTTCAACAAAAAGCAGCTACATTTCTTAGAGAGAAGCACATTAAAGTAGATTGGAGCAAGAGAGACTGTGACATTTTATCTTTAGTCAGTGGGGATAATACCTGCCATTTTATATGTAATCAAGTTGATCATTCAACAGAATTATGTGCATTACAGTGTTCAGATAACCAGGGTATTAATAGTAACTTAGGTTACAAAAGGTCTGTCAGACCAATCATGGCAAACCAGCTTAATTAGCATGATTGTAATTGAGTATTTTTCTATGGTAAAGAAGTGTGTAACAATTTTAATAATGTAAGGGGTTGCTACAGAACAACATGCAACCTTCTCCATGCATGTTCAAATTGTAGATCCACAGGTCAACACTTGAAAAGAATAAAGACATTTATAATGATTGATTGTCTGATTAACAAACCAAACAAGAGAAATGATGTTAGTAAAAATCCTGGACTGAAGCTGTACATTCTACATAGCTACTAATCTGATTATCACAACATGAAAGTACTTTTGTTTCCTAATATGTGGAGCTAAGATATAGTCACCTTAACCATATACACCCAATAAGCCTGATCTGACAACTTCTGTTGCCATCTAGGCTGAAATGTCCACTTTTTAAAATCAGAGTGTTAGTATAACAATTAATTTTAATAGTTTGATATCATACCTGTTCATGTTTTAATGAAAAACAAGTCAATGTAAAAATTAAATGGTTTGTTCTATTACAGAGCACCAGTGGATTATGGTCACCTGTACCTAAGGGGCCTAAGGGGTAGACCTCACAAACCTCACAGACCAAAACAATAACTATAAAGACGACGCCTAGCAAATTAAAACAAAGGTCACCTTCAACACAATATACTGTAAGTATTACAATAAATTTGATACAAAAGTAGAAATAATTTGTCTATTAGCATGAGCATTACAGAGCACCAGTGGATTATGGTCACCTTAAACCAAAAAATGAATTGCTTTTAATCATAAAATTGATTCTCATGTCTAAATGATTAATACTATTTTTTTTTTTTAACTATTTTAGGACAAATGGCCATTAGCACCAACCATGTTATAAAAGAGACATTACAACAGCGCCAATGGTCTCTAATACCTAAATTGAAACGGGCACCTGCCATGGCTAGAGAGCTAGTAAAAAACTTTCTTCCAGAAAACAAAGTAAGATGCAAAATTTCCATTTCTGGAAAGAACAAACATGGACATAAACTGGACAAGGTCCAGATGGAAAAGATCAAAGGTAAAAAGAAAATATCTATCAATGCATCTAGTTATATAAACTGTGTAAGGTTAAAAAAAATTCATGACATTGTTTATTGTGTAAAAGATCACTTTCATTGTAAAAAATCTTTTGACATGTGTAAACAATATTTAGAAATAGCAACTATGCCAATTTGTTCTAAATCTAATTAACTTTCTGCCTCCTAGAAACTGTGATCTCGTTGGTTAATTCCCTTTAGATCTTGCATTATTATCGTCATTCTTAGTTATATATGTAAATGGGTTTAAATTCTTTTTATATGGAGGATGACAGTCAAATAACAATAACTTTAAGTCCAAATTAGAATGTGAAAATACATGTATAAATAGGAAAATAGATGTTTCATTCAAAGTGAAGTATCCAAATATATTTTTTTCAAAGATGTATTTGATGCAGAAATTGATATGGCACAACAGTCTATGCACTGGTGATTTTTTTTATACGCCAGTATTTCCATCCATCTGTCATCAACACTTCAGACAACTCTTTTACAATTTTTTTTACATGTCAGACCAAAACCAAAAGCATTATCCATCAGGCTTTGTGGTTTTTGAAATAAGACTGTGCAACTTGTTGTGTGGGATGCATTTTTTTGTAACCCAAGTGCAATGCAGTGCCTATGTTCAACATGTAACCAGAATATTATTTTCATGCAATTTTAATAAAAGTATTATTTGAACTTTTGTGTTACTAAACCTTTTCACTGCATGATTTAATTTGGTGCCGTGACGACTAGGATTCTTTAATTACATGTGAGTTCCCTAAGATGGAGGATAGCAATCGATCCAGAAAGAATTGATGATCCAGCAGAATAAGATAAACATAAGCTAGTGTATTTGATTGTGTATAGTTCACACTTTTTAACCCAAAATATGTAATTGTGTCACAAATTTTATTGTTCATTCAATTTTGTTTTACTCTTTTGTTAAT